CGCAGGCAACTAGCCACCTTTGCCACAATCTTCCATATTCCACCTCTCACCCAACTTCCTGTTGTGAAGAAGTTCCTTCGGGGGGGGGGGGTCCCCAACCCGCACCCTCCAGTGGGGAAAAGATTCCCCATGTGGAATCTTCCCACTGGAGGAGCCCTTTGAGCCATTGAGAACAGTTTGTATGTTGTTTATGTTGTATGTTTATTAGTCTTGTATGCCGCCCACTCCTGGAGGACTCCGGGCGGCTTACAATAAAAAGGGGGAAGGGAATAAATAAGACAAACAACAATTTAAAATACAACAACATTCATAGTTACCATGGAGCTGGATACTTCAACAGCCCCCGGCCTGCCGGAGCAGCCAGGACTTAGTGGCTTAGCCACTTGGTCTTGTCGGGATTGAGTTCAAGCTTGTTTACTCCCATCCAGACCCTAACAGCCTCGAGGCACTGGCACATCACTTCTACTGCTTCACTGAGTTGGCACGGGGCGGACAGTTTTCCTGAAACACCTAAACACATAAGGGTTCTTAAGGTGGTATTCCTAGTCGCCATCACGCCGGCTAGAAGGGTGTCAGAACTAGGAGCACTCTCCTCTAGGGAGGACTTGTGCATGTTCCACAACAACAGGGTCATGTTGAGGTTGGACCCAGCCTTCCTTCCTAAGGTGAATTCCATATTCCACCGTTCCCAGGATCTTGTTCTCCCCGACTTCTGCCCTAATCTGGCTAGGGAACGGGAACAGTAGTGGTACCGGTTGGACATCAGAGGTCCTGCGTATTTACCTGAAGTGGACGGCCTCCTTCCGGAGGTCAGAGGCACTCTTCCTCTCTTTCCAACCATCGTCTCTGGGTAGGAGGGTAACGCCTTCCACCATTAGCCTGTGGATCTGCTTAGCCATCTCCCTAGCATATGAATCCCAGAGGTTTCTGGTGCCGGCTGGCATCATGGCACGCTCGACGAGGAGCGCTGCCACCTAGGCGGCTTGGGTCTCCCAGGCCCCCATAGAGGACATTTGCAGAGCGGCTACATGGGCATCCCCATCGCTGTTTATCCGACATTACAGGTTGGATGCGTTCGCATCGGCTGATGCGGCGCTTGGGCGCAGGGTGCTACAGCAGGTTATTGCTGAGCATGAATTCCCCGCCCATGGGACTTAGCTTTGGTAGGTCCCATCCACTGGAGCCTCCTGTCCCTCGCTCCAGAAAATGGCAGTTGGTCTTACCTGAACTGCNCCTGGAGGACCAGGATTTGGACTTGGAAGATTCCTGTGCCCACGTGTATCCTAGGGAGGATCAGGCCCTGCCCAAGTCCAGTCTAGCTCCCCAAGCTGTGGTAGCTCAGGAACGAGAGAATTCCAGCTGGGATTCTCTGGATGTAGGTGATCTGCCAAGGGGGCTGCAAAATCTCATTGAAAGAACAATTGCCTCTGGAATTGCGCATGGATTGCAGCAGCAGACTGCTCGGTCCTTAGCACCAGATCAAGGTGGGAATCCTAGGGCCAGCTCATCCAGGCTCAGACACCATCCAATCCTGTGAGCCGCCTCACCTCTCCTTCTCTCATTAGTGAAGGTTTAGTAGCAGAGAACAGACCTCAGAGAGATCCTGATCTGTCTGAAGATGAGGAGGATGATAAGCCGGAAACTCCGGCATTTACTGGACTATTCCCCCCAAATTTATTCCGGTCTCTTCTACGCAAAGCGCGTGCTACTGCACAGGTAGAAGGGGGAGGGGGGATAGAAGGAAGAGCCAATGTCGCGACAACACAACGTGCGGTCTCGATAGTCCGAGACTGCCGTTGACACTTTTGTCACTGGACGGTCTAGCAGGACCTAAACCATCCTGTAGAGATGGTGAACAGGAAGACAAAGCCTTGCTGGTCTCAGGGACATCACAAAGTCCCTGATTGACCTAAGGGAAGCACTTCAAGCCAGCCGAAAACAGACAGCCCCCAGGCTGACGAAGTCAGAGACAGCTTCAGAAGGAAGGAAGTGAAAGTGAGTCCATCGAGTGAGATTTTTTTTTTATTTTGAGAAAGATTGCCCAAAGAAAATTTTTTTTAAAGATAAATTAGTCCTTTAAGTAAAAGAATAAAGCGGCGAATTTAATTCTTATTGGACTGCCTTGGAAAGTTCTTGTTTGGGCAGCTGGGCAGAGAGACATCTGCGGTCAATCTGGGCGGAGCACATCACAGGGATTGACAACCATCAGGCCAACTGGCTCAGTCGAGAGACGGTGGACAACAGAGAGTGGAGCCTGTCCCAGGAGCTGTTCCAGAGCATCTGTCGGAGGTTCGGACGGCTAGAAGTGGACATCTTCGCCACTCCAGCCAACACCCAGCTTCCGTGGTTCTTCAGTCGGTTCCCAGCTCGGGGAATGGAAGGAGGAGACGCCCTTCGTACAAGGTGGCCAGGGGGACTTCTGTATGCTTTTCCTCCCCTCCCCCTCCTTCCCGGAGTAGTTCAGAAGCTAGTCAGGGAGCAGGCAGAGCTGATCCTGATGGCTCCTCACTGTCCGAGGAGACCCTGGTTCGTGGAACTCAATATCCTGTCAGTCCAGCCTCCATGGCGGATACCAAAGGGGGAAATAGAGCTGCACCAAGGAAGCTGATGTACCCAGAACCACACTGGCTGCAACTAGCCATGTGGAGATTGAGCAGGAGTGCCTAAAGGGAGCTCAATTTTCTCTGCTGGTGATTAGAACCATAGAGGCTTCTCGCAGAAATGCCACCTCAAGGATCTATGACTCTACAAGGGTGGCTTTTGTTTCCTGGTGCCAGGCAAAGCGGATTTAGCCCACCAGGGCCTTGGTACCGCAGGTCCTGGAATTCATCCATGACAGCCTAGACAAGGGTCTCACCCTGGGGACTGTGCGCAGGCAACTAGCCACCTTTGCCACAATCTTCCATATTCCACCTCTCACCCAACTTCCTGTTGTGAAGAAGTNACGCATGCACTTTTCTCGCACGCGCAGCCTGCGCGCCTGCGCACGGTGTCGAAAACGAGACCGAAAACGGGCGAACCTCTGGTTCAAAGTTACGACAGCACTGAAAAAAGTGACAGGATCATTCTTCACACTTACGAGAACTGCAGCATTCCCGTAGTCGCGTGGTCAAAATTCGGAACGCTCGCAAACGACTCGTAGTTATGGCAGGTCACGCCGCCCTGAGTCTCTCGGGAATAGGGCGGCATACAAATTAAATAAAACCTCAAACCTCAAACGTCTTTTGCAACCTTCTGACAAGCAGTCATTTCGGAAGCCAAGAATCACTTAACGCCCGGCGTACTAATTTATCAACTGCAGTGATTCCTTTAGCAACGGCGGCAAGGAAGGTGGTAAAATGGGGCAAAACTCACTTAGCGACTGTCTCGCTTTTTATCAACAGGCATTTTCGGTGCAGTTGTGATCGTAAGTGAAGGACCATATGTACTAGTTAATCCAAGGAACAATTACAGGAAGGGAAAAACACGGATACGTCATTCCGATGTCCTGAGTATGTTTACTGTGCCGAGGCTTAAAATTCTCGTTCAAGAAAAATTGGAAATCCCCTCTTCTACTCGTTCGTTCATTTATGAATTTATTTGTTAGCTTTTCATCTGGCCTTGAACAATCCCAGAAGTAAAACCTACATAATATTCATTTTTCCCTCCAATGTCTCCCACAGCAATTACCTTATGAGGATTGAGGTTAAAAAAACAATTAAATATTTAAGGGGAAACAAATTCCCAAGAGGAAAAGGATGGGATACTTTAAGAAAGGCGCTGCTTTTAAAACCAGCAACGATCTCAATCGCTCAGCGTCTCTCAGTTTTGCCTATTTGAAAGGGTGCGTGGACTTCAACTCCCAGAATCCCCCAGCCAGCGCAGCACCAACGGGCTGGGGAATTCTGGGAACTGAAGTCCGCGTAGCCTCAAGGGACCAAGATGGAGAAACAAGGCATAGTGTTGTTGTTTTTTTTTTTTTAATCCTCATCACCTGAAATATGGACATTGCAATCTTGGGAGAAATATTTCAGGTTTTGATAGCTGATCCTTTGGTTTAACATATTGAAGCCGTTTTAGGATTGTGTTGTAGGCGGGGCCAGCCGGAGGTGGTGTTTGCCGGTTCTCCGAACTACTTAAAATTTCCGCTACCGGTTCGTCCGAACCAATCCGAACCGGCTAAATACCACCTCTGTGTACACCACCTGATAGCAAACAGTGTAAATGCTAGCTGGACACACACAGAGGCACACAACACACACATACTACACACACTACACACACACACACACACACACACACACACTACACACACACACAACACACACACACTACACACACAAACGCATACACACTCACTGTTTTAAAGAAACCAATCAATGCATCGTCCATGTCTTTGTCTGACCTCCCCATCTCTTCTTAATGGACCTTCGCACAATCATGCATGGAATGGCCACACATTTTAGAGTTCCAGGGTCCCCCAGAGGTCACCTTGCCCACCCTCCCATCCCAGCTCATAGCAGTGCCACCAGAGAATAATTCTGACTGATGATCGATCATCCAGGTTTCGGCCTGCAGGCCTGCAATGAAGGAGAACATCTGGCATCACAACTGTCCTTCTCACAATACGTCCACAGACGGACCCTGGGCCATTTCCCTCCCTCCCCCACAGGTCTTTTTTTTGGCCGTTAAAAGGACAGGTCATGAGTCAAGGACCGTCTGTCCTCTTTGGAGGGACACTGCCATCCAGAACGCTGTCGGAAGGACGGATTCACGAAGGGGATTCTATCCTGTGTTGTGGTCCCTTAGATTTGCAAAAGATTTGTGTCCCACTACACAACCTCACCTGGTTCAGAAACAAACAAGGCCTGGCACACTAAGAATTCACAAATACTCTCCTTTTTTGGACTAAGGGAAATTTGGAAGCAGTCAACCCTACAACAACGAAGTTCCTTCATCTGGAACTTGTGTTTGGATTATCTCAAAAGCCCTTGACACATTCCCAAAACTCACAAGAAAATGCCCCTACAGAGAATCCTGGACTTCAAGAGTTCATTTAGTGGCTGAAGTTACAACGGCGCTGAAAACTGACCCATTTTTCACACTTTTACAACCGTCGCGGCATTCGGAATGGATCAGAATTGAGTCAGCTTGGCAACTGTCTCGTATTTATGATGGCCACGCCATCGGAATTGGTAACGGACTCATAGTTACGACGGTTGTTGCGTCCCGGGCTCCGGTGATCCCTCTTTGTGGTCTAGTGACAGTTAAAGTCCGCGGGGAAGACCAGATTCACTTAACTAACCACTTCCACCTTAACAACTGTGGCCAATACCTCGCTTAGCAACAGAAATACTTTAGGCTCAGTCGTTAGCCGAGGACTACCCGCAGTCAGAGGGGGCTCTTCATTTTCAAAGCGTAAAGTCATAGAGCTGGAAGGGACCTCGAAGGTCTTCTAGTCCAACCCCCTGCTTGTTCCCGGATGCTGCGAGAACGCCGATGCTTGCCAGAAAAATTGTGTAACTGTGTGTGTCTGTGTGTGTGTGTTTTGTAGTGTTCTTTTCTGGTAAGATCAGTGTTTGCCCTTCCTTGAGAAGAGAGATTTTCCCCTCTGTAGGTCCGCATGTGTTTCAACTTGGTCCATGAATCTGGAACGGGATGCTTTCAAACAGATCCCAACAGAGGACATCTAATTACAGTCAGATTTTTCCCACCACAAACACACAAGTTGTGGCCGGTAGCATTGTGAACCTTGTTGCCTCTCAACATTATGCGTAACTCGGCTCTCCAATGTTTGGGGCAGTTTCCTGAATGGGTGTCATCATATGTTCCTTCTCCTGTGGCTGTTCTGCCTGAACCTGGATAAATGTTGTTAAAAAAAAAAAAGAGTATTAATTCAGAATTCACGCTCATTTATCAATGAGATGTGGGTGGGGGGTGGGGGGGAAGAACCTTCCTTAAGGTCTTTGGGTCAGGAGACTCGAAGAATCACAGCAATCTGGAACCGGGGGAGGGGTATCCCTAAAGGTCATCCAGCCCAACCCTGTCTGCAGGGTGCAGGAAAGCGGGATTAAACCGTCCCCATAAGGCAGTAAGATTCACAGCCTTTGGGGCTGGTTTGTAGCTCAACGGCTCGAGTCCTAACCAAAGACCTAGGAACTGTTAAAGTAACATCGGAGGATATAAGCTGTTCCAAGTAGGATGGTTTTTTTGTAGAGTCAGAATGTTCAAGTCTGATAAATTTAAAATTTCCAAATAGTGAGGTATCCCTTTGGGTATTGCTCCAAGGTCTCCGATTACAATCGGGACAACACACGATTTCTTTTTCCACAGTCGCTCAACTTCAATTTGCAAGTCCCGGTATTTTGTGATTTTTTTTTCTTGCTGTTTATCTTCAATCCGTGCATCTCCAGGTATTGCAATATCAATGAACCATACTTTTTTTCTTTTCAACTATTGTTATGTCAGGTGTGTTGTGGGCCAAGTGCCTGTCAGTCTATTATTATTATTATTATTATTATTATTATTGTACAATTGTATCACAGCGGCCAGTTGTTTCGCCGGATTTGGCATTGGTTACTAGTCGGGCCCCACCCAGGGGCCTAGGACGTCGTAACGTATTTTCGTAATATGCGTGCAGATCCAAGCAGTGCGGCTTTTTGCATTTGACTGATGGTGATTTTGTCAATTTTTAATTGTTTTAAATGTAATTCCAGTGCTTTTGGAATAGCACCCAGTGTGCCAATTACCACTGGAATTACCACTGCTGGTTTGTGCCATTATTATTATTATTATTGTTGTTGTTGTTGTTGTTGTATCATTGGGTGTGGGGGCAAAGGGAGCCTCACATTTTATTTTTTTCAATTCCTCCCCCCAATTCTTTAGTATCCTTCCCTGGGCTCCCATTTTGTGAGTGCTCCTGCAACAACGCCGCTTTGAGGAACGGAAGAATTCACAGGAAGGGAACTTTAGAGTGAGTGAGTGAGTGAGTGTGTGTGTGTGTGTGTGTGTGTGTGTGTGTACAGGCCGATTTTTATTTTTAAATCCTACAGCCGCATTCTCGGAACCTGAGAATTTAATTTCTCACCGTGAGAAATTAAAGCAAGTGATCAAATCCAAAGAAGACGTTAAAGTATATTCCTACTTACCTCTTTTTTTTTGCCGAAGGCTGCAAACGAAAAAGAAAGAGATTTTATTTTAGAAATATGAATTTTCTTTTTAACCAAACGTTAAAATGATAAACTAGCAAAAACAATCCCACCTCTCTTTTATGCTGGATGGAGGAAATATAGAATTTATGGCAGAGGGAACAGTTATTAGCTTTTATTTTCTGGAGAATGTAATAATTCATCAGACTTATATTATTATTATTATTGTTGTTGTTATTGTGGTTGTTGTGGTTGGTCGCACAGCCGGCCAGATGTTTAAACTGGATCTGGCACTTTTCTCCACCTCTGGAGTAATTCCCAACGATCGACTTTGATCAACATTCAGACGCTCGGCGATTGTTTCATACTTACGCCCGTCTCTGTGTGCGAAGGTCACCTGATCCCCCTTTCGATGAGCAAAGTCAACCGGGGAAGACGGATCCGCTTAACGACGGTGTCCCTAACCTATTCACGGCAGGGACTCGGTGAACTGCAGGGAAGTTGGGACTCAACCTTGGTCGTAAGTGGAGGACTACCGCTTTGAAATTGGAATTTTAAAAAAACTGTTGATCGTTCTTCTGTTTGGCATGGATGTGATTAGCTGTCATGGCTGTTCTGAGCCACCTACCTTTCTTCCTCCAAAGTAGGAAGGCTAAAAGGAAGGCCGGGGGAATCAGCGCAGCCGGGATGCCGAGACCCAAGATTAGAGGCAGGTGGCTTTGAGGTAGGGGCTCACACACCACATCAGAAGTTGCATTACCGCTGCGTGTTTTGACCATGTCTTTCTCACTGCAACTGAGGAAAGGGGGAAAAAAAAAACGTTAAAGGAAAGAGAAAAGGCAGGGAGGGAAGGAAAGGAGAAAGAGGGAAGGGAAGGGTTAGGGAAAGAAGAAAAAAAGAAACATTGAAGGAAAGAGAAAAGAGAGGGAGGAAGGAAAATGAAGGAGAAAGAGGGAATAGCAATAGCAATAGCAGTTAGACTTATATACCGCTTCATAGGGCTTTCAGCCCTCTCTAAGCGGTTTACAGAGTCAGCATATCG